TAATAGATCTGGAAGACACACTCCACATTTTTAGAAAATGAGAAAAAATGGGATGCAGACAATGCAAATGTTTTGAGTTGTTATGAAATGCAAGCAAATGAAAATTTACTCTCAAGCCACATTGTGCTGAATAATTTTATTTAGGCATGAATTTATTCTCATAGTAGGATAAAAGAAACGTATTTTAAGGGATAAAACTACTTCTAATGTTGTTCATTGCTTATTACTCTTCGTAAGTTTCCATTTGAGTTCCTTTTTTATGTGGCTTTGGGATACTTTCCTCTCTCCCTTATGGTCTATGTGCGTTTTTCTAGAAGCTTCCTTTACCTCTGCAGGCTTTCCCTGCATTCCCTGCAGGTCTCTCTGTCTTCTCTGTGTTTATGGAGCTCTTCTTCTGTGAGCAGTGGAGAACGGTGAGGTGTGATTTGGACAGCAGTGGTGTTGAAATGTAAAATGTCTCAGTGGTCCCACCTCTAGCCTTGCCGTGGGTCTGGAAGGAGTAGAGGGCAAATGCTTAATGCGAGAAATCAGCAGGGGTGGGGCAGGCTTGTCTCATCCCTGTGCTCAGCCCTGGCCTAGAAAGAGTCATTAAGTTAGAACGTGAGGGAGGTCAGATTCTAAAGAATGCTCATCAATGGGTTTCTGCAAAGAAGCTGTTCTTCATCAGGCCATGGTTTTGCTTCCAGGGCAGCCCACCTCTTCACCGAGTCTCTTCAAGTGCATTTCTGTGGTCATGTTTTAACAGCTGGCTCCTGCGGGGTAACTAGCTGAGTGGCAGCACTAAAGGACGAGGCAGCAAAATCACTGAAAACACACCGAGGAATTTGTATGATTCCAGTCATCTGTAATCTCATTGTTTCAAGTCTGGAAAACTAGCAAGACACTCACTTGTTATTCAGTCCCTGCTAGAGCTGGTAGAAATCACAGCCAGGCAGGACAGCTCCACGTCGGAGAGTCTCTGGAGGTTTGGGACTGAGAAAGAAAGACTCAGAGAAAGTATCTCAAAATGTATGGGGGAAAAATCATGTGAACAAATCCATAGCTACCTTTTCTTTGACACAGTCTCGTCTTAATCTCTCCGTCAGTAGCTCAGGGCTGAAGCTTGAGGGGTGGTCATAAGGAGTAATCCTACAAAACAATGGTGAATCAAAAAGAAAGAAGTAAGAAACACTCAAGTCATTTCTAGGTCATCTGCAGAAAAGCATTTAAAGTCTCTCCAGGGTCATTATAAAGAAAATGTGAAATCAGTATGATTCAAAAATAAATACTCAGAATCAAAAGGAACTTAATACAATTTTAAATATTTTATGCTGAGATTAATCACAGCTACATTTCAATTATAGATAAATTGTTCCTAGCACTCAGACAGAATAACCTGTTTTCCTTTTAATTTTGTGTCTCACGTAGAGGTCCTGGCAACTTCCTTGCCCTTCTTAGTCTCTCCTTTACCTGCTTCATTTTTGCTGAATGCCAAATACTCTTATTTCTCCGGCTTGCTGTGAATTTTGTTTGTTGTTTGTTCATATGCTGACCTGTTCCACAAAGGACCTGACATGGGCTCTGTGTGTGTGTGTGTGTGTGTGTGTGTGTGTGTGTGTGCGCGCGCGCCTGCGTGCTTTGGAAGATAAAATCAAATGCAATTGCCAGGGTTTTGCAGATCAGACAAATAGAAGCTACCAGCCCTTGCTATGGGGCCATTCAGAAATGTCTGTCCCTTAAAAAAAGGGGTTCTCAGTAGGGGCTATCGAGACCTTCATCTGATATTCCAATAAAACAAACATGTATCCATGGGTGACCCAGCTGGTTATAGGTCCCAACTTAAAATAAACCTGTGCCTTTTGATTGGAGACCTTTCACAACTTAATAATACTTAATTCCCATTAAGTATCAATGCCCTCTCCTACTTAAGGCCCATTAGTTGCAAAGACTATAGAACGTGACAAAAAAGCTCTGAGGATTAAGTACCTTTCCCAGGGCTTTTGTGGTTTGTGAATCATAGCAAACATGCACAAACATTGGAGAGAGCAGGCGTGAGTCACCTCTGGGTGTGAGTCACTGGCGTCCAGCTGTAAGGGGAGGCTTTTGTTACCCTTAGAACCTCGGATAATACTGCACAGAAACCTGGAGCTTTGCAGTAGCAGCGGCCCACCTGTTCCTTTAATTCCTCTTCTTTTCAGGGCCATTTGCCTTCGTCTTGGAGTGCTGGAAAGCCTCCAGAGCGATGCCCCCCATGGCCTAACAGCTTTTATCAGCTCACTGGTGGCTCTTAAGCTTTGATGTCTGAAACCCAGGCGTTAACCGATGGGGCCCTTCTGCACAAGTTACCCACTTTCCTGGGTTCCTGGGGGCCTCTTCTGCCAGGGCAGCCCAGAGAACACCTCTCTTCCTTCCCTTTGTCAAAGTGAGGTGGCAGCTAAGGCCTGAGGCCCCTCACCGCTCCAGTTCCCAGGGTGTCATTTTCCTGCAAAGAGGGTGGCTGGCAGACACGGCAAGATTAGACCTGCGCACGCCTCTGGTCTAATTTTACCCCCCCCCCTTTTAGCCTCTAACAGCTGTTCCATTCATTTGGCCAGTAGTAAAACCGCTACTCCAGTCCACGTTCACCTGACATGCATGCAACTGTTTCCCCTTTTCTGCAGGGGTTATCTAGGGAAATGTAGGAAGTAAGCCTCTGTTAGCTCTCAAATGAATAAAAACCCAAAACTATTACCTAAACAGTGTAAGCTTTTGAGCGCAGTCCCTGGGCATTACTGCTTACACGGAACAATGCCAGACACCATGGAACAGAGCCGTCCCCCCTTTAGAGCCAGTCACCCGCATTTCAGCACCCACGGGAGGAATGCCTCTTGCTGGCGCTTGCCAAGAGCATCGCATTCAGCGGTTAGGATTTCCTTGAAAATGAGTCGAGCCGGAGCCCCGTGTGAGAGGCAGAGCACCCTTCCGAGGCAAGCGAGCTCGATCCCCAGGCAGGAGCCTCTGCCGCGAGTCCCGGTTTCTCCTTCCAGCTGCGTCTCCTCGAGCGTCGTCGTGACTCTAAGACTCACTTCCTCATGTACGAGGTGGCAGAGATGTTCCTGACCGGCAGGTTCTCCAAGGATAAAATGAGGCAAATATGTAAAGTGCCCAAAAAAATGTGGGGGCACAGGAGGGGGAACAGCAGCTGTTGCTCTTGGTTTTTGTTACTGACAAGCTTAAAAAAAAACAAAGGAAACAAACCTGGAAGGTTGGATTTTTGAAGGATCCCTTCGATGAGATCCCTTAGGAAGCCTCCCAGGAAGACCCTGGTCTCCAGGCAGGAAGCACAGGGGAGGCTGAGGCAGAACAGGGGGGTCAGGCCCCCCCAGGCCCTGGGCTCCCATTCAGACTCGCTTCTCTCTGCTGTGGGGTGTGGCGTCGTGAGTGTGGTAGCTGCCGAGGGGTCTCCTCACTGCGCCGCTCGTGACAATAAGTCACCTCACTTGGTCTTGATGGAGCTGACATTTCTTAGTCTGAAGCCTTGAAAACATGAACTCTGTCCCCTCCCACCCTCTCCCCGCTCCCCCCCCCCTTCCCATAGCTGGGCCTGCGTCCCATTTGGAAGACTGTGCAAGCCGAAGGCTTCAAGTGTAACATCAACCGTGGGGGGCTCCCCGCAGCTCCCCGTGCCTTCTCTCTGCTTTGCGATTTGTCTTTAATTTGCTCGACGCCGTTCGCCCTTTGATCTCAGCGGCCTGGTGATTTTCTTCTTTGCTTAAATTTAGTATTTATCCGTCACAGCTAGTGATGCATGTTATGGTGTTAACAGAACATTCTGCAGCACCCCCTTTGCACCGGGGAGGGGACATTTGCTACTTTTGTATTAGGTCGCCAGATTTCGAGGTCAGGGTGCTTCCCCACCAAGGTTGAAGGCTTGGGGGAGCAGGGAGGTGGCTCCAAGCAGCAAAATGGATGGCAGTTGCTGCCTGGCTGGGTTTGCCTGTTCTCAGCAGGGACAGCGCCGCCGCGTATCGAGCTGGGCCTCAGTCGGCCCAACAGGCCGCTCGGGAGGGAGGCAGGCTCTGCCCTTGGCTTTGCTGGTCTGAACCGCATTTTCATCTTGGAAGAAATGATACTGAGGTTTCACTAGTGGCGCCCACAGGGTGGAGGCGCCAGGGGACACGCTCTGGCTAAAAAACACCCCATCAGCCTTGGGAGAAGGAGCTTAAGGTTTAAGTTGTTCGATCCAGAAAGTCTGAGGAGGTGATCATGTTAAGCAAGGATGTGTATCAGTAACATGGGATCAAATGATTGGGGTCAGTAACTCCCCGGCTCTCCGTGCACAGCCCACGGAGAGGTAAGCTTCCCTCACGCACGGAGTTGGCGCTGCCCGGCCCTGTACCCTTCACACTGTGTCTCCTCTGATTTCACGGGGTTATCTGTGCTGCTGCTTGAACAGATCCCTGTGGTCTCGAGCTTCCTATGAGCTCACATCAGGGCAATACAGTCATTATATTGTGGGCGTTTATGTGCCTTTAGTGTCACCTACAAAATGACCATGACACTCCTTGGAAACGTGGACGTGTCCAGCAGGGACGCTCCTCAGGCCGCTGGGTGGGGGGAGGGACACTGACCCGGGAAGCTGTTCTCAGGCCCAGTGTTAGATGAGAAGGCAGTGAGTATGTGCCAGGATGGAAGGACACTGTTTCTCCAAGTGGGCTCCTTGGCCAGTATCAGCAGAAACACCCAGAAGCTGGCTAGAAAAGCCAATCCAAGCAAATCAGAAGCCCTGAGATGGGGTCCGCAGGCCACGTGTTAACCAGCCTTGGGGGGGGTGCATGTCCCAGTTTGTGCAACACTGCTTCAGCCCCCAGGAGCATGAGCAGGGGGGTGTGCATGTTCTGGAGAGCACAGACTAAGGATCTGTCCCGTCATCATGATCTGGACCATCATCATCATTTTATTCTCTTTTGGATTTCCTGCTGCTTTGGTTTCAGAACATAACTGATGCAATTGCCTGACCAACCCTCGCTTGTGCATTTCAGAACCATCCCCCTGGCCATCTGCATCTCCATGGCCATCGTCACGGTGGGCTATGTGCTCACCAACGTGGCCTACTTCACCACCATCAGCGCTGAGGAGATGTTGCTGTCCAAAGCCGTGGCCGTGGTGAGTGAACAACCGTCACCCGGATGATCATGAGCTTTCACCAAATTCAGAACTCACCTTAGCATATTCCTCTCACTGATGCTGCTAACGTCCTATATGATTTCCCTGGACTATTAATTCTGCGTAAAACATTTCCACATATACAGACTTGAAAATCCACCCTGTTGAGTAGACGGTATTATTCTCCTAATGGATCTTTAAGGACAAATGGGCAGTTATGGAATGAAAATGAATGCGTTTGGGATATGCAGAGTTGCAATGGATTCTAGCCTCTTTCTTGTTTGAAAACTTTCAAATGCTAATTTAAAATTCTTTCCCCAAAGTATCACTTAAAAATTTCCAAGTGGAATATATGTATGTTTCTAGTGTATCCTTTTGAGTACTAGTCCTGGGATGTATTTAATTTTGGGAGATGCCAAGTTTTTCAAAGTTAAATAGATGTCATCGCTACAGTACTTCTCAGATATTAAAGATACTTATCTGCCTTTTAGCTCCCCAAGAAGTGGATACTCATAATTTTACAGCATTTTCTAAAATTTATTTGACTCCAGGACTCTCTTTGTTCCTGAAGGTCCTGCTGCGAGGCTGTGATTTTGTGACACACGCTTTGATTTGGTATAAAACTTAGCTGGCAAGAGAGCATGCATTCGCGACCTCATAACAACCAAGAGTCAACAACTGACTTCCTCCCCATCGCTGGGTGTCAGCTCCCATTAAAATAGTCACTATTACCTCATATCAGCACCACGCACGGGGGCCAGATGATCTCATTCCACGTGAACCTGTGTGCCAGTTCACGGGACTTAAAAGCCCTCTGCTCTGGGCGCTCCCGGCAGCAAATGGACCAGCCGGCTGATGTCGGGTCACTCATCCCATCTCACTAGACAAAGGGCGCCACTTACTCTTTGAGCCTAATGGGGTCCATTAATTACCCAGCACCAGCTGGAACAAGGACAGCTAAAGACTCCCCACCTATTATTTTATTTTATTTTTTTTGAAAAGACATCCTTCCCGGAAATTTGCAGCGTCGTCCATGCTGGGGTATAAAAAGAGATTTCAGCAGTTCTCTTTCTCCTTTATATTTTCCGTGGCTTGAATTCTTCAGCCTTGTATTTGTGATCTAGCCTTTTTATTAGAAGCTGCTGAAGGAGTTGCTATACCTGAGAGGTGTGGGAGAAAGCCCCATAATCAGAGGTTTGGCGAATGGGCCCCACATTTTCAGAACTCCTGTGTTCACAGAGCCGATGGTCACCGATGCTTTCACCCCACTTCTGTGTCCAGACAGTGGGATTAGCGGACGAAAACAGTATCTGTGGCGCCTCTTGGTGCACGTTGGTGCTTCGCTGAAAAAAACGTGGCCTCCCAGGCTCAGGAGGAGGCGTTTTGTAGAGTCTTGTCTCTGAAAGTGGGACTTCTGAATTGGGCTTTTCCCGCTGAGTTGAGTCATCGGATATGTCGGGCCCTCGTTGATAAAGAGTCAGAGAATGATCGAGGCTTCCTGAAGGTAGGAAGGTGCCGGCTTAGACCTTTCGCAGCGCATCTCAGCAAGCAGCGGCCCCTGCCTTCGAGCTGCCCTTCACCAGTGGGAGGGTGACAGAGCAGCCACCCAGCCCAGTCTCACGCAAGGTCACAGAGCGAGTTTGGCCTGGACTGTTTCATTTTATCCACTTTCCGGCAAAGCATTAATTTGCCTCCTTATGTCTCACACTAGACCTTTTCCGAGAGGCTCCTGGGAAATTTCTCATTAGCTGTTCCCATCTTTGTGGCCCTGTCCTGCTTCGGCTCCATGAACGGCGGGGTGTTTGCTGTCTCCAGGTGAGTGAGTTCAAGCATTTCCACCAACACATTTCTGTTTTTGAGATTGGATGTGATGAGGATCCATTTAAAGGGAAAATACAGAGAGCTTGTCTGAGTCTGCAGTTTTTAAAGGGATAAGCAAGAGCGAAGGCCGGGTCCAGGTGGCGACGGCATGTCTTGTTGTGCCCATTAGAGGGCGCTGGCGACTCGTGGATACTCACCACGGGCGTGTGGCCTGAGAACAGGCTAACGACAGCGTTTTATTTCTGGTGATAAAATCTTTTGTTTATCGAAAGGTGGCAAGAAAAGCAAGTAAGAGACACCAGAAATCACCATCCCACCATCTGGATCCCTTTCATTTGATACAAAAGCCCCTTCTGCCTTCACAAAAGATTAAAACCTCGTCAGACACATCTGTGTGTCTGCACGTGTGTGCATTTGTGTAGGAGGCGGGACTGGACGTACAGAACACACACGGTTCTGGGAATCTAGAGCTAAATTCGCCATCAGCAAAATTCATACATGGGGAGAGCTGAGCTGACCCAGATGTTGCTGCTGTTCCTCCTCAAAGAATAATGCCAGCAGATTTTACACAATCTGAAGTCAGATTTCTCCTGATGTTCTTTATCTTACCTGAAAACTGACACCAAAATTAGCCCTGCAGACAGGCCAGACCATTTGGTATGAAAAAGATGCGCCTTTCCCCCTGGATTCTGGATCTCTCCTTTGGAATGATCAATTTCAAAGCAGTCCTCTCCACCCACGTTTCTCTCCCCTCAGGTTGTTCTATGTGGCGTCTCGAGAGGGTCACCTTCCGGAAATCCTCTCCATGATTCATGTCCGCAAGCACACTCCCCTCCCAGCTGTCATCGTCCTGGTAATGCATATTAATAGGGGTATCTGGACGTAGTCTTGAATAACAGGCGAGCACAGAGAATTCAAACCAGACTTCAGAGCGGACTTGGCTTTCTGGTTCCTTGCAAAATCAGCTTGACGGACATAACGTGGGCTTTGGGAGGCCGGATATTTTCCTTGTTCAGTTTTTCTGATGCATTAAGTGACCCTGGGGCAGTAGCCACATCGCTGGGGTCTCACCTGGGCACGCACGTCTGAGGGGTAAGGGTGTGGGCTGGCTTGGCTCCTGCCATGAACACTAAGTCCCAGTCCTATGTACAAAAACAAAAACAAAGAAAAAGTGGAGCCAAAAGCTCCATATCTCGTCACAGACCCCAAATGGAATGCACACGAAATGATAGAAAAAATATCCAAGGACTCGCAGACAGAGTCTGTGATTAAAAGCCAGGCATTGGCGAGCGAACACAAAGGGAAGGAAAGAAAGGGCAGAAACGTACATCTGAGCTGCAGAATCCTCTGCGTGGAGAAAATGGGAAATGTAGGGCTCCAGAAGATTGCGGGAAAGTCCTGAAACGCCCTCTGGCAATGTTACGTTCATTTTTACCTGTTTTGTAACATTGATCTCAAAGGGAATGCGCTATCAGGAACACCACTGGATGCGCCAAACAGTTATTTTCCCCCCAAGCATTTCATTTGTCCCACAACGTCGCCTTGAAATTTCTCTGCGAAGGGCTCCGTGGAGTCTGGAGGAAGGGACCGTCACTTGGGGGAGCGCCACGTGTCCTCCTTGAGAAGGGCTTGCTGGACGCCTCTGCTGCCCGGGGCGTGGGCAGCTGCGGGCTCCCTCCTCGGCGCCTCTCCCCGGGGTCAGGGTGGCGAGCCCCGGGGGAGAGACGGGCAGAGGGAGAGGTCGCGTTTCTGCATCGGGGAGACCCCTAGCAGGGCTGGGTGTCAGTAGCCACTCCCAGAGACTCCACCGAGATCCGATGGGGTCACTTTTGATTGTTATTATTATTTACTCATCTCAGCGTGTGGGTCTGAGGCGCTGAGTACCCCCGTTTTAACTCTTTGAGAGCTGCTTCTCTCTAATGTGAAAGCAAGGGTGACCCACACGTCCACAGAAGGCCCGTCTGCCGAGTGGCAACAGTGGTGCGCTCTCTGCAGAGCCTCTAGGCCTCAGCCGGCCTGGTGGTTGTCCATCCCGTGGTCAGTCAGGAAAGATAATAATACCGAGTGGGGTGCTGTTGTTCTTCTCTGCTGGGTTCCCTCTGAACTCATGGCCTCTTTCTGTCCCCCGCCCTCCCCGCAGCACCCCTTAACGATGATAATGCTCTTCTCGGGGGACCTCTACAGCCTCCTGAACTTCCTCAGTTTCGCCAGGTGGCTTTTTATTGGGCTGGCAGTGGCCGGGCTGATTTATCTTCGATACAAACGCCCAGATATGCATCGTCCTTTCAAGGTAACCTTCGCCGTCCTGATGGGTTTACATAAATCTTCCTGCTAATGCCTAGTCCTCCCGTCCTCATCACGCCATGATGGGGAGCTGGGGCGGGGGCCGCCTCCTCTGGAATGAAACCTTTAACTCTTGCAGGCAGCGCTGCCTGTCGGATTTATTTTAGCTTGGAAAAAGTTGTTCATCTTTTCTTACAGGATGTACTGAGCTTTGTCCCATTTTTGAAAAGAGATGGTTTGAAGAGGGGCTGTTTGGCATGCAGCTTTTTCAGCAATGTGTGCGATGACCTGATATGTTCCAGGCGGGGGTCCTGGCCCCTATTTTTAGGCTGAGCATTTGGGGCCGGCCACGCCGGGTGCGGGCAGAGGCATATGGAATCATCACTAATTAAAACTCCAGAGAGGATGCCGCCTCACCAAGTGGGCATTTCAAGTGTTCTTCCATGCCATGCCTTGTTATATTGCTCTTTTTCTACATTGCTCACTCGAGAAGAAAGAAAACGGTGACATTTACCAGGAAAACCAGGAAGCGTGAACTTTGCCCCTCACTAGAAAGCCCGATTCCTTCTGGAGGGGCCGGGAACCTGCTTCTCATCGCCTTCGGCCTTGAAGCCGCTGGGTTGATCTGACTCAGTGTTTATTTGCTTTGAAGCAACAGCGCAGATCACGGCGCCAGCCATGCCAGCTTGGCTTCTAATTCTACCCCGGTCCAGTGCTGGCCACAGCTTTGTTAGCGGTTGAACAGGAGTTGGCTCGTTTTATTCCCGTCCGTTCTTAGGGAGAATCTCCCATGAAAAATCCATATTCTCTGAGAAGGTTTTACCCCTAAGAAGCAGCCCGCCCTCTGGGCTCCACATTAAGGTGGATGCTCATCCTAATGATCAGAGAGCCAGGGTTTTGAATTCAGAAACAGAAACCATGATGGTATCTAGCTGGAGAAATAATTCAGATGGAGCAGCTGAGAATCCCACGCATCTCTAGAGGTGATTCTCTCTTGAGAGGAAGTCAGGGGTGTGTTGAGTGCTTTCTGGGCCCTTTAAGGAGCCCGAGGGTCAGGTGGAGGTGGGATGGTTGTCCCGGGGGGGAGGGCTGGGGGGGTGAGTCCCTTCCTGCACCCTTGGCCTGGAGCCCTGACGCGCCTCCGTGTTGCAGGTGCCGCTCTTCATCCCGGCCTTGTTCTCCTTCACGTGCCTCTTCATGGTGGTGCTGTCCCTGTACTCGGACCCGTTTAGCACTGGTGTGGGCTTCGCCATCACCCTGACCGGGGTCCCTGCGTACTATCTCTTCATCATCTGGGACAAGAAGCCCACATGGTTCAGAAGAATATCAGGTAAGGCCGCGAAGGGGGTCTGGACCTTTGGGGGGGCCTCAGCACAGGCGTCTGCGGCTGGTGGGTTTCCTGCTGGCTCTAGATTTGAAGGAGCATTTTGGAGCCCTTGGCCTCGTTTTCACAGGGTTTAAGATCAGCAGGGGCGTTGAGCCAGCGGGGAGACAGCAACTTGAGCCCCTGCGAATCTCTGCACGCGCTTTTCTCGGCTTTCTCTGGCGTCTCTTGTGGGCTCGTCTCTCGTGGCCATTCCTCCATCGCTGTCTCTGAGCGTCCTGCCCTTAGGTGCCTGGCCTCTGGGCTCCGGGGCGCACACTTGCACACGCACGCACCCATGCTCAGGTGTCCGTAGTCAGGCACGCGGGCCCCACACCCACGTGCCCGCTGCGTTAACAAGATCAGGGCCCTGGTGAGAGCCGCCGAGGCCGGTGGGGTAACAGCCTGGCCGACGTCCTTTACCCTACACCTGTGTGGGTACCTTCCCTGCACGCCTCAAGGCTTAGAACTAGAAGAGGTTGCTGGCTTCGATGCGCTGCTGCATCTTCATTGGAACCAGGAGAAGAAAAAGTGGGAAGGATGTTTAGGGAAGAGCCACTGAATCCTCCCGGGCTCGGTGGTTCAGGCCGCTGTGGGCTTCTTAGCAGAGCTGCTTCCTTAGATGGTGTTTCATCAGCGCTTCTGTCGGTGACCTAAGTGCTCTTCTGAATCCCTGGGGCGTCCTCTTTAACCCAGGGCAAATGTGGTTCTGAGATTCTACGCCATTAACATACTTGAAGAATGATAGGACATTTGATGGAAGAGGAGGAAGGCAGAGACCCGCACAGGTTTTATGTGAGATCACAACCCTAGTCATAGGTGTGCCAGCTGACGGGGAGCGAGAACAATCAAGACAAGAGTAACCTCCCCCTTTTGTTGTTTGATTTCCACGTGTTAGCACATTTGTGATCTGATTTAATCCTTAAAACGACCTTCAGAGGTAGGAAAAAGTATTTCCCCAGTTTATAGGTTTTCAGCTATACCATGGGACAATGTACATAACCTGTCCCAAGTCAAACAGAAATGGAGTAGAAGCTCTAGAATCAGGCTCGGTTTTGGAATCTAGAAAAACCCTCCTGGGGCAGTGAAGATGGATCAGAGAAGGTGATTACTGTAGTGATCTTTTTTTATATTATTGTTATTTTTTAAAGATTTATTTATTTATTTATTTATACACGTACTGGGCACAGTCAGAAGCATGGGAGGGTAAGAGGATTCACCAGAGACAGAGGGGGGAGCAAAACATGCAGACTGACGAAGTACACTGCTGAAGGGAGCAGCGGGCGAGACAGGAGAGGTCTGCTGCGCCATGTGGGACTGTTAATTTTTGGACATTTGGTTTCTCCCCTCAGATGTAGTCCCCGTAGCTTTCCCACCACCATAGCACCCTTAATCCATCTCCACCGTCCTTTGAGCTCTTCCCTCCCCTGTTTTGACTCTTCCCCCTCCCCTCTCCCCTGCTGTGTGCCTCAGATCTATGATCAGCTTACAGGTTTTGTCTTTTTTCCCCCTGACCCTGTGTTTGTTTTCTCTATATTCCACATGTAAGCAAAACCATTTGGCGTTTATCTTTTTCCTTCTGACTTCTTTCACTTAGCATCATCCCTTCCAGCTCCATCCGTGCTGCTGCTAATGGCAAGAGTTTATCCTTTTTGATGGCTGAATAGTATTCCATTTTGGTTCTATATACACCGTGGAATACTACTCTCTGTGGTGAGCTTGAAGAGATTAGGGGAGTCTGCACATGAACCATGTCAGCAGGTGTCCTGGAGGAAAGGACAGACATTTCAGAGGAAAATCTATAGGGCTTAGTGACCAGGGGCGCTAGGGGAGGGGAAAACAGAGTGGCTTAGCAGGTTGGAAGGGCTCAGGAACAGGTTCCTTGAAAACCCTTCCCTGCTTTCCCGAGCATTTCCCTCCCTCATCAGCTCCTTCCACCCTGCGCAACATCCACACGTGAGGTGGTATTTCTAGGCCAGTTGGACAACCAGGACTTGCAGACATGGAGCATTTATTTTTGAGCATAAAGACTCTAAGCCATTGAGCTAGGATTTGACCCATGTTGACTGGACTCTGGAGCCCACGCTCCTTCTCCATCCAGTGACTGGGTGGGGAGAGACACAGACACAACACACACAGCCAGCGGAGTGGGTGTGGCTTGCTGCTGAGTTTAGGGAACAGCTTTTGTATTTCTCAATTGTTTTCATTGGCTTCCTTCACCGAGTGGAGTTTTAGAAGCCTAGTAAAAAGCTTAGGGAGATTCCTGATAAAATTGTTGAGCAATAATATCTGGGTTACTGAAAAAAACATCTTGGTGTCCATGTGGACTCCTAGCGTGCTTCGCGAATGCATTTGGAAGTCACGCACTGGACATATTTTTCTGCTACTCTTCATCAGATTTTAATTGGTATTTGGTATCTGTAGACCTTCCACTAATATTTATACCTGGTTTTGTTTTCTAGCTGGAGGCTCATCCCCCAGCACAGTCACTCTGCTCGCTCTCTGCTCTCGGGCAGGCAGCACAGGCTTGGCTCGCCTGCGAAGGGGTCTCGTCTGTTTCTTGCCGGAGCACACTTGTTTCCTGTAGGCTATTTCTGTTATGTCTTTTCCGTTGTAAGTGTAAATATAGAACCTTATCTGGAAAAAAAAAAAAAGTCTTGTTAAGCAACATCCACCACCGGGATTGCCGTCCTCGTGACCACGCTGAGGACAGGGGCGTCGCTGTGCAGCAGATCCTGGCTGAAGGAGTTACCTGCTGAGCCCCAGGGAGCAGGGAACGTAGTGGGAGAGAGCTGGCAGCCCGGTGGGCTCCAAGGGAAGGGAAGTGATGCCAGAGCCTGTTTTGCTCTCCCAACCCGTGTGCTCTCGCTCTCCAGCCCCGAGGCTCCTTCCTCTTGAGCCAAGACTTATCAGGCGGCGGTTCTTGCAAGCCTCCCGGAGGGATCTCCTGGCTTGTGTCATTTTGAGGCATTCTTTGGTGATTTTTCTGTCTCATATTTTGGGTCCCAAAATGAGAGGCAGCTTTCTGTGAAAGACGCAGCAACGTTGTGGTCCTGGATGGCCCTTTGGCGCCTGAGGATGCTGCTCCATCTCCCCGGGAAGCAGCTGCATCCAGGCCTTTCAGCTGCAGCCGGTCTTCGTGCCCCTCACCTCTGGGGCTGCCCACAGGGAGCTGCAAGACGCAGCCTCCTCTGTGATCTTGGTTGATTGTCCGCAGGCAGCATCCTTTTGGTAAATAAATAAATAAATAAATAATCGTATTATTTATGCCTGCAGTAGCAACCATTTTCCTAGCCTTTGGCCAAAACAAAACACACCGGGCAGGCACCAGAACAGCAGAGTCCCGAAACCCCGCCTCACCTCTCCTCCAAATGCCTCCTCGTTGCTAGAGAGAATTTCTGTGAACTTGGACTTGGCGACCAGGAGTGTCTGCTTGGAGCAGTTAGCTGACTTGATAGCAAATGCTTTTACTTGGTAACGTTTGGGTTTTCTATTAGCATGTAAGTGCACCCGCAGAAGCTCCACCAGATGAGACTTGAAAACCTTCCTTTATCAAAATGCATTTTACCCAGGGCGCTGCGAGAAAGAGGTTGCACAACGTTTAGAAAACGGGGAATGGCTGTACAGTCAGGGAGATGTGCTCAATCTGAGGTGCTGAGATTTTCAGAGGTTGGAGGAATTTTTCTGGCCACAGGATGCCAGTATTGAACCACGGTTTGTCTGAGGGTGCTTCTCGGTGAGATGGAAATGTGCTCTGAAGGGAATATTCAGAGACACAGAAAGCTGCTTTCCACCCTCTGCGATAGAGTGGTTAATTCTCCCGGTGACTGATAGATCCATCGATTGATTGATTGAGATATGAGCTTCTCACCCCAGGAAAATGCGGCGCAGACCGCGGGGGCCCGCTTGACTCCCTGGGGGTGACTGCACCTGGGACCAGGGCCAGCGCGGCTGGTGGCAGCTGTTTTATTTGGCTGCTTCGCTTCTCAGCCAAGTCTCGTCACCGCTGAGCGGGCGAGGGGTGACAGCGCGTCGGTCCCTGGTGTTCGGGGTGAGACGCAGAGAGCAGCTTTATTGAAACCGAATCCTTTGATTCTGGAGCTCCTGCCGGGTGTCGCCAGCACGCGGGCTGTCGCCCGTCATGGTGGACGGAGGCTCTGCGGTGCCCGCGTCCCAGCGGCTGCTCAGACCGCGACGCCTCGCCCAGGCGCCCCCCGGGAGCGGCCTGAAGTGCTTGGCAGCCTCTGTGCCGACGCTGCGGTGCGACATTTTCAATGAGCCCAGCTTGCTTACTTTTCCCCCAGTGCCTGAACCGTCTTTCCAGTGAGCATAAAATGAGAGGCGACCTGTGAAAGGGCTGTGAAGCCTTTAAAACCCAACCAGACTGTTACTCGTGTTACGGCTCCCGGGGAAGGTTGGTTTTATGTTCATCCTTCACAGATTTATTCAACTTTGGCCCCCGTTGCTAGGCGTGAGTGGGTCCATCCGAGCTTGCGAGCTCAGGTGTTTGACCTGACTTCAGGGGTCCCTCCTGCGCGGGAACGGGGGCGCTGAGATGCAGGGGCACCTGGTCTGGGGGCTTGCAGTGCCTCAGGTACCAGAAACCCCGCATGCGGCTGCAACAGCTCAGCTTTCCCTAGGGACAGAGTGCCGGGGGGTCGAGATCCCCAAAGGCAGAGCCTCTCACGAGTGCGAGGTCAGGTGCCACCGGCTCTGTGCACTTCTGGCAGGCCGGAGGCTCCCGCCGGGGCTACTCGTGTGTGCTGAGCCCCTGGCTCCCCTCCCCGCCCTGCCTCAGGTCCCCCGTTCGATGAAAATTATTCAAGGCCTGAGGTCCTGAGAGGCAGAGCATGGCCAAACCCCGGGGAGGATATTGAGCGTGGAGACAACTGGATGGGGGTGGCGGAGGGGTGGGGGGTGGCAGAAGGGCCGCACGGGCCTGCCCAGCGCCGCATCTCGCCCTCCGGGCTGCTGGGTTGAGGACCTGACGGTGCTTCCAGGAGGAGGTGGTCGCTCTGGGAAAGCAGGAGCTCTGAGGGGCTCCCTGAGTTTGTCCAGAACGGACTCAGGGTTGGGGAGAGGGAGAGTACAAAGGGTTGGGGGGTCTAGGACACAAAAGAGCACTTGGGGAGCAGGCTCTGGGTCTGGGCCAGAACCGGCTGTGTGAGAGAGGTCTTTGCGGGAGGAAGAAATCCCAGGAGACGAGCGCACAGAGAGTCACACACACGTGCTCTTGGCAGCCCTTGCAGGGGGTCAGTTCGGGGAGCTGCTGGCGGGTCCCATAGGTAGAGTGGGGGCGTCCCCCTGACCCCGCCCGTCCAGACTCTTCATGGTCCATCTAGGTCAGGCCCAGCTCCTCTGCCGCTTCCTTCCTGTTGATCGCTGTTTGCTTTCTCATGAGCCTATTTGTTTCCAGGATAATTTTACCACTTCCTTCTCATGCGAACATGGACTTCAGTCGCTCTTGAGCCTTTCCGTGCCCCGCGGACGGCCCTGCCCGGAGTGGCCTGTGACACACACCGTTTATTCAGGCGCACTCGCGGCAGATCCCCATGGGTCAGCCCCGTGTGATTTATGTGGCGGCGACATCAGTGTGCTGAGGACGCACTGCGGGGGAGTGTTGGAAGCAAAGGGTGAGAACATAGGCCGGTGTTAGCGACATGAAGTAAGCTGGGAAGGGACTCTTCCTAGTGACCATTACAAGTGGTCAGTGAGAAGGACGGTCTGTCTGGATAAGAGGCGTTGCTGGGATTGAAGCCATCAATAAGATAATAGCTCTAGAGGCTCCACAACCAGGATAGGTTTGAAAAAGTTCTGCAGGGCTTGATAACAAAGACAAGAGGTGAGCAGAAGAGCTCATGTTCCCAGGAGCTAGAGTCTCAGAACTCAAGGGCTGGCCAGGTGAAGGGGCCGAGGCCTCCTCCTGCCCGGCGCCCGGCATTTCCGCCGAGCTGTGTCTTCATCTTCTGCTTCTGTGAGTCTAGGCTGGGGCTTGGGAAGATGCATTTCTGGTGTCTTAGGTGATGTTCGTGTTGCCAGTCTGGGGATTACTATACTTTGAAAAGCTGCTGATTTCATCCAAATCCCTCCTTTTATTTTTTTAAAAAAGATTTATTTATGTATGCACACAAGAGCTGGGGTACAGGCCAGAGGTGTTGGGGGTGAGAGAATTCCCCTCAGAGTGGGGAACAGAACAGGCAGGCAGACTGAAACCCACTGCTGAGGGGAGCAGCGGGGAGGCAGGAGAGGTCTGCTGCACCGTGTGGGTAGCTCCCTCACCAGGGAGGCCCAAATCCCTCCTTGTAAACATGACTTTTATTGAGCTGTAATTGACATATATCCTTGTGCCAGTTTAAGGTGTTGGCTTGATGCGTTTCTGTATTTCGGTGTGACTACTGCAGAAGCCTTAGCTATATCCTTTCAATGCACTTATTTCCTTTCTGTGTTGAGGACAGTTAAAATTTAGTCACTTGGCAACTTTGAAGTTTATAATCCAGAGCTGTTTGTTGACTTGTATTCCTGGGCTCTGTCAGATCTCCAGGACTTATTTACCTGCTGATTGTGAGCTCGTACCCTTAAGTGACACCCCACCCCCCACTCCAGGCCCTGGTGACCACCGTGCTGTTTTCAGAAATGAAATTTTTGTTTAGTGTCCACATAAAAGTGATATCCTGGAGTATTTGTCTTTCCGATTTAGCCACGTTAGCAAAACACCTTCCAGGTCCATCTGCTTATCACAGTGGAGGGATGTCCCTCTCCTCAGGTGCAGGTCACAGCTCATCCACTCACCCACCCGCAGACCTTAGGCTGTGTCCACCTCTGAGCTCTTGTGCGTAACACTGCAGCGGCCTGGGGGGTGCGGGTCACTCCTGGAGATGCTGCTCTCACTTCCTTCACACATACACCAGGGTCGCAGGATAGTTCAGATTTTAAAGTCTGAGGAACCACCACTGTTTCCCACAATGACCGCACCAGTTACATCACCAGCAGAGTGTGTAAGGAGTGCTTTTCTCTGCATCCTCACCCACATTGATTCTCTGACCTTTTCGAAAAAAAAAAAAAAAAATGCAAAGAGGGATGAGGTGCCGTGTGGTGGTTCTCATCACCGATGACGCCTGCCACCTCCTGTGCCTCTCGGCCACTTGTTTGTCTTTTTGGGAAAAATATCTATTAAGATCCTTTGCCCTATTTTAAAATTAAATCATTTTCTTCCCTCTTTTTTTTTTTTTTTTTTTGGCTGTTGACTTGTATGAATTCTTTATATGTCTGGATACTAATCCCTTATCAGCACATGGTTTGTGAATATCTTCTCCCACTTCATAAGTTCTCTTCTATTTGTAGGTGGTTTCTTTGCCATGTAGAAGCGCTTTAGTTTCACGTAGTCCCTCTTGTTTGTTTTAATTTTTAGTTTTTAGTGTTTTTAGTTTTTTGCCTTTGCTTTTGGGGACTTATCTAAGAAATCACTGCTGAGGCCACTGTCAAAAAATTTTCCCTTCAGTTTATTTCTGAGTATGACAGCTATAGGGATGGACTGATACAGGCAAATCCGCCTTTTCTCTGTGGGCATCTTTGAAGCTTGAGCTCTGCTGGGTTTTTACTGCTTCTTCTTTCTTGTCTAGCGCTTTTCTTGAGATGTTTTCTTCAGTTTAAGTAGGTAGCTCTTGAGGTATTCCTCATGGGGAAGGTGAGTGTTGTTCCCTTCTAGCCCCCCATCTTGGTGACCTCGCCCCCCAGATACCTCACCCTATAAAGTGGATAACCGAGGCCCTGAAGAGATGACATCCACTCAATAACACACCACATGTCTGGAGCTAAAATTATATCCTGAATCTTCTGATTTTATTGAGGAATTGCTTATAATCTCATAGGTGCAAAATCAGCAAAGAAATTTTAAATGGAATGTGAAGTGTATTTTGAATGTTTATTTGTGTCTTCGTCTCAAACTATTTCCAGACTCCTGGTTCATGAATAAAAGTCTTATTTGAATACAAAATATTAATGTATTCTTGCTGAGAAGCTATCATGGCAAGTTACAGCAGTGACAAATAAATTAATTGAGCATGATAGGATTCTAATGAAGAAAATAATTCTTGAAAGTGCTGTATGAAATGGGCGGTTGTGTGTTCTCCGTGTTCAACCCCAAATAATTCACATTTAGCTGTTTTTTGTGCATTCCTGATTTCTGTGCATTTTTAATTTCTCTTCTTTATTTTTTTTGTAGACAAAATAACCAGAACATTACAAATAATACTGGAAGTTGTACCAGAAGAAGATTGTCATAAATTATGAATTAGTGCATTCAGAATCTTGGCCCTCTGTCCTTGGCCTTGTTTCTGCCCAACAGGTAGAAACACAATTTGGATCTCCACTTCATTTTCTGAAAATCCAGAGGATTGAAACTTTGGTGATGGACTAAAGGAGTCCATTGTTTCTGTTCATCTCTTTTAGTGTATTCAAGCTGGTTCTAAGAAACGTAGTCATAACTCCATGCAGCTGCGGGAGCTGAGGCGTGGTTGGCTCATGAGTTGACAAGGCTCTTGCGTCGCCCGGGCCTGGCTGGTGGGCGAGGGAGTCAGGCTGTGGTGTGTTCAGGCTGTCAGTGGCCATTTTCTGTCGCGGCTCTTAGCCTGGCTAAGAGCCTTCAGACTGAAGACTGACATGGCTTCTGTATATATAGGAATTTTTGTAAAAATGGCGGTTGAATACTATAGATGACAATACTGTGAAAAGTGTTTTCTACTCTTCTGGAAAAAAAAACCACACACTCATCATTGTGGCCCAGAGGAAAGACAGACGTTTATGTTACGTTTATTACACTGCATTGCTTCCTTTGAGTGGCCAACTGAGGCCTCACTCATCTTCCAGTGGATTACACCGAGAGCAATCTGAACAAAGGAGAGAGGGGAATATATCCAGTTTTCTTGGATACATTAAAGAAGAGTTTCTAGGTGGCTTATGTGTAAGTAAAAATCCTTGAGAATTTATGACATTAAGTTTTTTTTTCACTCATGATCGGGAGGTTTCATTATTACGTGCCAGTTTGTTTTGATATCACCTCTGTTTATATCACAGAACACCTTTCCTGAAGCAAAGCAATAGTTAGTTTGGTGTTATTCTCTTAAACACAATCACCAGTTTCACTGATCATTTACCCCTGGATAAATATGTCTAGATACGTCTCGAATTTTTATATTCTCACATTACAACATTGATATAACACAGAAATGTCCAAAAAAGAAAATGTCCAGAATACTATATCCAGCCTACTAAACATAGCTATATGCAAAGCTCATAATGCTGAACAATCTTTTTATTTCATAGCTATATTTACATGATGATGGATTTTGACAGTTTGTATATTTCTTTTATACATTTTAAATTCTGTTAAGATGGCTCTTCAGATAAAACTGTCCAGCTCAATTAGGAAAAGACATATATTTACATAAAAATTGAGGAAGAAATGTCACTGCTAAATAAGATTTACAACTTGATGTTTCTGAAAATTTTCCACTTCTATCTCTAGGCTTTGTCAGTAATTTCCTCACCTTAATTATCATTCAACTTGCACAAGAGATAACGGATAATAAATTCATTGAAAGAGGGAGAAACTGCGCCAGAGAGTTGTATATTCAGACAGCGGTTGTTCGGCCATGTTCAGAAAACAGTGTGGAGTTTTCAAATGCAAATCACATAATGATCACATCTGTTAACTATTACATACTTCTGAGATTAACTGTTTAGTCTTGGCCAGGCAACGGATCCTCCTTTAATTTTTCTTTTTCCATTTGCAAATAAGAGTTTTCAAGAGAATTACACTGATTAAAATCATTTAGAACAGATACAGAGTTCATAGACCACCGGCCAAAGAAAAAACGACAATTTATCATTTGAAGTCTTTCCAGTTTACTGATTTAAATTTTTGCTCTCGGTAACTTTGAATATATATCTCCAAGCTTTTCCATACAAACCTAGTGTTTGGGTCTCTAAGTGAATTTATAAAAGTTTCTTCCTTTTTCTTTGACCAGAGGGGTTTTGGAATTTGATCTGCAGTCTCTGCTTCCTTGATCTATTTGTCCGTGTCTCTCTCCACAATATTGTTGCTAGAGGTTAAAATAGATTTTCTTTATATTCCCCCTTCTTATACTCTGGGCCCATATCATTGGAACCAGCAAGCTGTTTTTGACTTTTCTCTTGTCTAATGAAAAAAAAAAAAATGCTAAGCCTCCTGGGGAGGTTCATGTAGCTTTGCTTATTCCCGAGGTTAATGTGCTGATATGGACAGTGGCAGGTTGGTCTCCTCGCTATGTTTGTTTTTGCTCTACTGGCTCACATCTCTTAAAATACATCAGTGTGCACGCTAGTTAGAATATGGATGCACTGTTCTTCCGTCCTTTTCAAAGTGATTTTGCATCTTCAATGTTTAATGCCATTGTAATGTATTTTAGCCAGACAGAAAGCCAGTCATTTTTAAAAAGTGATGGAGATTATGTTGTACTTCAACATAATTTTAGGAGACATCATGATGAGTTACAGTGTTTCTGTAACCAGGGAATTAATATTCATAATTTTTATTCAGAATGGTATCATGTCAAGCAGATTCTAGTTTGAATACTACACACACACACACACACACGTGGGCACACACACATTTTATACTAATTTCTCATATATTTAGAATATGTTTATTATAACGCAAAAAGTAAAAGTGGTGAATATATTTTAAGAAAACCAATATACCATTTCAAATGTTCTGATTTTGGGGGGTACATAGAATCTCTAGTATATAAACAGATCTGACCCATTTTTGTAATGTTGGATTGATAAACCTGAGATTTTTTTTTTTTTTTCAAAAGAAACTAGATTATCTAAATCATGATTCAGCCAAGGGGAAGTAGACCCCCTTCTTGTCTTTTGTTAGGAGATTAAACATTGTCCAAGATGGCTGGCTTCAGTTCCAACGTGGGTTTGCACCCTCACACACGTGCCTCACACACGTGTCTCCCTCACGGTGCTGGCCCGAACTAGGACAGGCTCTATTCCCTTCTCCATTACACTAGCATGTGTGGTACTTTAACACTAAAAATGGAAGTTGAAGAGAATTTCCAGATTGTCTTATGTGTCCGGTAAACTTGATTCCCAGTTGCTACTTGATGTAGCAACAGATGGTTGGCATGAATGTCATTGTGTAAGTTGACAGAATTCCTCAGTCGTGAACTGTCATCAGTCTGCAGGAAACTCATTTCATCTCTGTTTGCAGGTGAACGTAATGTTAACTAAGGAGGTAGACATTTTTGACCTAGAGTTGTTTTCTTGTAATTGAGGTTCAGGTTATGAAGAAACACAAAACAAGGTCAGCATTACAGGAAATCAAAGTTAGTACATGATTAGAGGTAACAATAATTTGCTGTTTAGTCAGAGAAATATTAAAAATTAATTGTTTGCTGGGCAAAGATGGATTTGCCAGGAGCTAAAGAAATGCAAGCCTTGGGTCCCTCATTTAGACATGTCTACTCCAGCTCCATTCCTGTTGCACATTAGGAATTTTGTACTGACTTTCTCAAGAAAACCAGCAAAATTATATATACTTCTGGCCCTACAAAATCTGTATCTGTCTCTATGCGTGAGGTTAAATAGCTACCACTACATTTTTTCTGTTAGGAAAAAAAAATAATTATGGGGTCTTTGTAGGATTTTTTTAACAATGTTGTGCTTTAATTAAAATATCTTTATGTAACTCTAAGTGGCTTTCTCATAGATATATCATGTGGTATGTAAGGAGAGAGTTTCACCTTTGACACATTTTATGTGTCACCTCTGAGATATAGAAACACAAAGAATAGGATTTTAATGGTAGCTCTTTTTCTTAGTTTGGAAAGCAATAGAAAGAGCTTCGAGATGTGAATGTAGAGGGCTCAAGAAATTTGATTTTACTTGAATAGAATCTTGGTTCGTTTTACCAATGTGACGTGCAGTTTGTTGGTACTGATGATGTTTACAGACTTACATTTTACTGCCCTGAGATTCAAAGTCAGGAAGGAGAGTGGGCATTGTGTAAATGGCAAGGAGTTGGCGGTGGATGTAAATTAGAGGAGCTAAGGCATTATCTCGACAGCTTCTGTTGACGTTATTCAAAAACGGATTCATCAATGAAGTAATTATTTGAGGTTAATTTTTCCATCAACAGTATTTAATCCTTGTATGTGTAACATATAATAATGTAACCCCTCCATCGTTTTAGTACTGTACCTAAAAGTGATATTTTAACAATGTTTGAAGATGATCCTTCCTTTTGTTGCATTTTCAAATGAGTTGGTGTCCAAAAATAAACAGGTGGTCTATTTTTAGATCTGATACAAATTCACAAATCCTAAGTGTGGTCTCACGGGGAAGTCACCAGTTTTCCATCTGTTGTGAAATATTGTCCCTCCTGATAACCTGGTGAAGCTATTAACTTGATCTTTTGAAGCCATTGCTGCCTTTTCTTTGAGTGAATCAATGATTCAGTCACTGTTTTGTTTTTTTTTTTTTTTTTTTCTATGATATCCTCAAGAAAGGGGTGAGTTTTCATATGAACGTAAACAATTACCTGGATGTCCTAGTGCCAAACTATCGCTTGGGGTTCTGTCTTGGAGAGACTGACCTGCCCCTTTTCTTTGTTACTATTATCTTTAAACTATCCTTGGAGAATGGTCACCGCGCAGTTCCTTGTCTGTTACATGAGTGTATTTCAGTTACTTGCATCAAGGACACATTTATAGCATCCAACCCCGCCTTAGCAGCCACAGAGCTAACAGGCCTCCCAGAACACTATAGCCTCAGGCATCTGAGAGCTGTACAGTTGGACACCCCGGTTTGAAAATGAACCTGTTTTTTCCCCTCAACATATATACACTCCTGATTTTCCTTTTCCAGTGTGACCTTCAAGTGCCTTAATTTATTGGGTAGAGACCTGCTTGCTAAGTCCTCATGACCTCTCGTTGAAGCCTGTTGAGGCCAAGCTGAAAGCTGGAGAGGAAAATGACTAAGACCAGCACCCTCCTGAGCCGCGCTGCTGGGTAGTGGGTGGGGTTGTGAGTGCCTGACTCCAGCGTGGGATGCGACACTTGCCCTCTCTCGCTGCTGCCCCTGCAGCCCTGGCCCCAGGCGCGTCGTATGTCTGGGAAGCGATGCTGTGTGGCCCTGGGTCTTAGGGCGGAACTGTCTTATTTCAAAGAATGTCGGAACGAACATTCCTCTAGCAGTTCCTCTTCCAAATTTGCATTTGCTGGATAATATAACATAAAGGGTAGGATATTAAAGTGGAAAACTGCTTTGGAGAAATAAAACGTTTCAAATGGATGCATGCTTATCAGAATAGAAACGACCGACATTACACTACCGTGTACAGCAACGCTTGCAAACACGACCACGTGGCGCCTTTTTATTCTGGAAGCAAAGCATCGAGATACACACACACACACACACAAACACACACGTAGCTATGGCCAGTACACAATCCACAAAAATCTTCCAAAATGTTTTAAGTAGTCTGGGATTATTTTAATCCTCTCTTTGGAGGAAATTTGTTACCTAACAGTTCTCCCTGTAGGTATTTTTACTACTGCTGTAAATC